GGTCTATACCTTGTCCACACCAACTAGGTATCCTAAATTAATCTAGCCTCATTTGCCAGCATTTGGCCCATATCCCTCTAAATCCTTTCAATTCATGTATGCAGATGCCATTTAAATGTTGTAATTGTACCAGCCTCCACGACTTCGTCTGGCAGCTCATTCTATACATTCACCACCCTCTACGTAAAAAAGATACCCCTTAGGTCCCTTTTAAATCTTAGGCCCTCACCTTAAACCTATGTCCCTCTAGTTTTGGACTCCCCTACCCTGTGAAAAAGACCTTGGCTATTCACCCTATCAACGCCCGTCATGATTTTAGAAACCTCTATATGGTCACCCCGCAACCTCCGACACTCCTGGGAAAATAGCTCCGACCTATTCAGCCTCTCCTTATAGCTCAAACCCTCCAACCCTGTTATCATCCTTGCAAATCATTTTTGCACCATTCCAAGTTTAACATCCTTCCTATTGCAGGGAGACCAGAATTGAAGGCATTATTCCAAAAGTGGCTAAACCGATGTCCTATGCAGCCGCGACGTGACCTCCCAACTCCTATACTCAATGCCCTGACATTTCCAGTCCAGTGACCTTTCTTCAGAATGAATTTTACTCATACTTCTTTCAACTTAGCTGCCCACAATATGGTTTATCGACACTGGAATGACCAAACAGTGACAGTGTTTTTGCTTTGGCAAACACCTTCATTCAGTCTGCAAGCTTGCAGCTGGGTTACTGGCCACTTCTTGTTTTCATTCACTGTCCCACTCTGACTCTGTCTTCTCTGTCCTCTCCTGCTGCACTGTTTTGATGACATTTAATGGGAGCTTGAGGAATGGGACATTATCATTCGATTGCGCACCTTACAGCCTTCTTAAATCAGTCTGGAGTTCAACAATTTTAGATCATAACCACTGTTCTCATTTCTTTGGACAGCAGATTTTAGTAATGATTCTTCTTTTGTCATTTTCAGTTCCTCAAGACCACATTTTGTCTTTATTTTACCATACCATACCACTCTATTTCACGTTCTTCCATTATCCCTTTTATTATTTAATTTCTCCTGCTTTGTCGCCATCACAGGCATTCCCTTTTGTTCTCCCTTCCCTGTCTTTTTTTTCCTTGCCTTTGCACGTAAAGCAATAAGAAAATCAAGCTTTGTAAACAGGAGACAGCTATTAAGGTGTATAAGCTTGCTCCAGTGTTATTCAATGAGATCAGGCAATCTAACATCATATACTCACCTTCTCCCTATAATCTTTAAATGATTTACAAGAAACTATCAACTGCAGATTTAAAATTATCCACCCATCTAGCATTAAATGCCAAATGTAATTTATAGACTCATAGAGTCATACAACACAGAAACAGATCCTTTGGTCCAACCAGTCCATGCTAACCATAATCCCAAATTAAACTAGTGCCACCTGCCTGCCCTTATTCCTCCAAGCCTTTCTTATTCATAAACCTATGCAAATGTCTTTCAAAAGTTGTAACTGTACCTGCATCCACCACTTCCACTGGAAGTTCATTCCACACATGAACCGTTCTCTGTATAAAAAAAATTGCCTCTCATGTCCTTTTTAAGTCTTTCTCTTCTCACCTTAAAAATATGCCCCCTAGTCTTGAAATCCCCCATGCTAACAAATAGACATCTGCAATTCACCTTATCCTTCATGATTTAAAAAATAATATATAAGGTCACCCCTCAATCTTCTATACTCCAGTGAAAAAAGTCCTAGCCTATCCAGCCTCTCCTTATAACTCAAATCTTCCATTCCTGGCAACATTCTGGTAAATCTACTCTGAGCCCTATCCAGCTTAAAATCCTTCCGATAACAGGGTCGCCAGAACTGGACACAAAACTCCAGAAGAGCAGGTGGCATAGTGGCTCAGTGGTTAGCACTGCTGCCTTACAGCACCAGGGACCTGGGTTCAATTCCAGCCTCAGGCTGTGTGGAGTTTGCACATTCTCCCTGTGTCTGCGTGGGTTTCTGCTGAGTGCTCCGGTTTCCTCCCACAGTCCAAAGATGTGCATGTTAGGAGGATTAGCCATGGGAAATACAGGGATAGGGTAGGGGACTGAGTCTGGGTGGCATGTTCTTCGGAGATTCGGCCTCTTTCCACACTACAGGGATTCTATGGATCTATGAACAATGTCACGTAAACCTCAAAATGACTTCCTAACTCCTATACTCAAAGAAGGCAAGTTAAATGACTTCTTAACCATCCTGTCACAACCTTCAAGTTCCCATCCAAGCCATACTCCACCCGACTTGGAAATAAATTGCTGTTTCCTCACTGTCACTGTGGCAACAGTAGCCCTACCAAGCCTAATGCGCAAATCATAGTAAATGTGGGAATTTCCTGATCTGTTTGGCTTAATGATACATGGATTAAACCAGAAAAATGGCAATATTTAAAATCTTCAATAATTTCTTACTGCTGACTAGATTATAGTTTGTGTTGATATAAACTGCTTGTTTTCTTTAATTTACGACCAACATTGCCATATTTTTGTTAAATTTATATTGGCAAAGGGGGAAGATCCATCTTGCAGTAATATTGAAAATCCATAGCAACACTAAGACTAAAGGAGTAGGGAAAATTAGATAAGTTAAAATGTGTATGTTTAATGATTGTTATATTTTATTTAAGTAAAATATCTTCTGGCACTATCTACCACACTTGTAATCCTTTTGGTGATTATATCATTACTGAGAACTTCAGCATTATAACATGATCAATTAACACCTGTCAATGAGCACAGTCAACACACATTTTTATGTTACTTACCTCTCCTCTGAAGTAGCAGATGAGATTTTGTCCAAATACCACCAGTTATCCTCAACCCCTTCCAGTGAATTTGTAAAATTGAGTTTCAAACATGTGAAATAAGTGGTTCCTAACTGTTTCCAGTCTTGGCTCATTTGCTAATACTTTTGTGTCTGAGCCATGAGGCTTTGAGGTCAAGACCCACTGCAGGACTTGGGCATAAAATTTTAAGCTGACATTCCAGTGCAGTACCAAGGGTGCAGAGTCAATAGGTGCCATTTGCAGCCATGACGTTAAACTGGGAATTACACTTGCTTGGGCAGGTGTAAAAGATCCCATTGCACTATTTCAAAGAAGAGCAGGGGAGAAATCCCCAGTGTCCTGACCAATATTTATTCCTGAATTAAGATCGTACAACAAAAAACAGATTACCTGGTCAATATCACATTGTGGGAGTTTGCTGTGTGCAATTTGGCTCATTCATACAGCAGTGGCAATAATTGAAAAATGCTTGATTGGCTGTCAAGGTTTTTCATATGTCCAGTGGCCTTGTAAAGCACCATGTAAATAAAAACCTTCCTTTCTTTCCAAGTTCAGTTGTGAAAAGCCTGACCGTGTCTTCCAAACCAATGGGAATAGTTTCAGTTTACTCACACTACTTAGTTCCCTTAACATCCTGAAAACTTTGATCAAATCATCCTTATATCTTCATAAATTCCAGGGAATATATCCCTTGTTTGCAAAACCTTCCCCTTATAAATGAACCCCCAAAAGTGTTGTTCTGATAAGTTTACAGTGTACTCTTCTAAGGTTAATGTAACTTTCCTAACATGTGGTGCCTAGAACTGCTGACAGTATTCCATCTGGGCTCCAACTGGGACTTTGTAAAGCTGAAATGTGACTTCCACTCCTATTTAATTGAAACATTTCTAAAAAAATCCTTCCTGTTTGGATGAAAGTTTAACTGGCTGAAATGTTAGCTCTACTTAAGTTGCTGCAGATGCTGCCAGACCTGTAGAGTGTTTTCAAGAAGACATCCTATCTATAATAAAAATAGAAATTGCTGGAGAAATTCAGTAGGCCTGGCAGCATCTGTAGAGAGAGAAACTAAGCGAATATTTTGAGCTGAGTGACTCTCCATTGCAATTCTGAATCTCTCCACTGATCCAGCTGCCTCTCCTGCAGACTTTTCCCACAAACAGGAATATTGTAATGAACAGATTATGTGTTTTGTTTGAGAGATAAATATTGGCCAGGACACTTGGGATTTATCTGGCTTTCTCTCCTTTGGTGTAGTGCTATTGATTATTTTACATCTACCTGAAAAAGCAGATGTGGCCTTAATTTAGTGACTCTTCTGAATGCGACACCTTCAGTGCAAAACTCCCGCAGTACTGCATTGGTGTATTTGCCTTGATTTTGTGCTCAACTCTGAGACTGGGACTTCAATCCGAAACCTTCTGAGTTTGGTAACCCTTCAATAGAAACTTTAGCGGCAGACGTGTGTCACAGCTCCTACTTAAGTAGAAACTGAGTGACTGGGGCACTTTCTGAAGATTAAGTCACTTGCAAAGCTTATTGCTAATTTAATTAAATCCCTGGGACTTCTGTGAGCCTTGTGTGGAAATGAAAGTACTGACTTAGCTATGCACATGCATAGTCCTGTAGGGATTGTTTAGATCTCAGGCTTTATACATGATACGCTGTTATTAAGAAAGGTGTTTCAAGATTTTGACATGGCGCCAGTGAAGGAATGGCAATGAGATGAGTGTTTTCTTCCAGATTTGTTTTTAATTGATTTTCGATTCCCCCAGCAAATGCCTTGTGAACAGTATTCCAGACCTCTTGCTTACAAGCCCAGTAACATTACGTTGCTGTTTTGCTATAGATAAGCTTTCGACAGGCCAGCATCTGAACTGTGGACCTTCTATGCTGTCTGTATTTTCCTTCTTTGGGTTTGATTGAGCAATTAAGTTACTGAGCAGAAATGCTGAATTGATTAACCAGCCAGGAACAGGCCCCTTAGTCAACATATAAATCGGTTGATATGTTACTGACGTTTCACAAGGTTACGTAAAATGGTATCTCGCTACGCTCAAGTGCAATGGAGATGAATAGTTTAATGCAAACAGGTTGGGAAAACTAGTTTCTCTAGAAATGTCAACTGTTTCTCCTATATGGCCTATGGGCCCTATATAGGACACCTTGAATATAAAGACACTACTAACCATGCATGGATATTTGAATTGGCTCTGGAACAATGTCTGTCACAATCGTTACAGGAATACGCCAGATCCAGAAAAGCTCGTTGGGAAGAACTGTGACAACACTCCTGATCAGACCGCTGTCAGCCTGCATCTCTGAACTTGGGTATTTAGCTCTTAACCTGTGCAACAAAAGCAAAACAAAAACAAAAGGAGCCGTGAGGAACACACACACACTCTTCACTCTCTCTCCCCTCTCTCTCTCTCTCTCTCTCACACACACATGCACACACACACACACACACACACATACACACACTCTTCACTCTCTCTCCTCTCTCGCTCACACACACACACACACACACACACACACACACTCTTCACTCTCTCT